GGGACTATCGCGGCGGCTTCAAACAAGAGCGGTCTTTGTCACACTTCATAGTTACTGAACTTGATTTTTCCTCTTCTTTGCAGGCATATGAAAAGGGGTTGATGATCGCAGTCATTCCATTCACTTCTAAGGTTTGCAAGGAGGGCCGTTACTTCTTCAACATTTTATGAATGGAGTACTGAGGTCTAATTATTGGTTGCTGCAGGTGTTGGAGCCCTGCCGGAACAGTCTTGCATATCAACCTCCAAACCCATGGACGATGGGTATTCTTGGGCTGCTTACTGAGATCTATGCGATGCCAAATCTGAAAATGAATCTTAAATTTGACATAGAGGTATTGGCCTTAAGAAGGATTTGGAAAGATGACCAGTAGTCTACCAGTAAGATTAGCCACTTACCTTTTCCCCCCTTTTTTGCTCTCCAGGTGTTATTAAAAAACCTTGGTGTTGATATGAAAGATGTAGCACCAACTTCTCTATTGAAGGACCGGAAGAGAGACACAGATGGTAATCCTGATTTCAGTAGCAAGGATCTCTTCGTGGCACAAATATCTCAGCCACAAATGATTCCTGAAGCTAAACCTGGAGCAATTTCTACTCTCAACCAGGTAGAACTACCTTTTGATGTTGCAACTTCACCTAACACAGGTGGCCATTCGAAGTTATCATCTCAGGTTTGTTTCTGTGTTGGTTTTTTTAAGTGGGTTATAACGTTGGTCATATGGGTCAAAAGGTAAAAGAGTCCTATGCCCCACCATTCTGGTTTCAGTATGCAGTCCCTCTTCGGATTTCTACTGGTACTTTGATGGTTGATGAGAAAGTGGCTGCACTAAGCTTATCTGATCAGCTTCCCTCGGCCCAAGGATTGATCCAGTCAACTCCGCCCCCTTCAGCATTTTCTATTAGTCAGGTGCTATTTCTGTTTTCAATAACTCTTGGTTTTGAAGAATTGGACACACTTTACTCAAGTTTGCTTTTGCCAATCTCTTGGCCAGCAGCTCTCAGCAGCAATCCCGAATATTGGAAATCATGTTGTTATCAATCAGAAGTTAAGCACATATGGTCTCCACTTTCCTTTTCAGAGGTTTGTATCAGTTTCTCTGCTCTTGATTTTGGCATACTGTTCCATTTTCCCGGTTTCTAACTTCTCCGACGTGTAGCAGAGTGGTACCCCTTGCTATGGACAGAGCTATCAAGGAGATTGTGTCTGGTATTGTTCAGCGTAGTGTTTGTATTGCATGCCAAACTACGAAAGAGCTTGTTTTGAAGGTTGGTCAACCTCATTTTTCCTCTCTTTTTCTTCCCCTAACCCTTACCAGCGAGTTATCTGCATCCTGACTTCTTTCTGTTAATTTCAACACATTTCCATCTTGTCGTGTGTTGCAACAAAATCCTTTCTTCCCCCATCCGCCGCTTGAGATTCTGTCAGTTTCTAGTTTAGAGATATGTCGCACCGTTTGTCTTTAGATTTTGCGACAGTACTTTAGCAATATTTAGTGTTTCATTTAGTCCCGTGATTCATGAAATTGATTTGTATTCTTTTACTTTTTCAGGATTATGCCTTGGAACCAGATGAGACGCGTATATACAATGCAGCTCATTTGATGGTTGCTAGTTTAGCTGGGAGTTTGGCTCATGTGACTTGCAAGGTTCTAATTCATACAAAGCAGTCTACCCGTTCTTTTGTTTATGCATTTCTATTCGTGCAATTACCTTTCTGTTTTCTGATGTCAAACTAACCAGCCGAATATTTTCTTTTGATTTTCAAACTTCCTTTTTGCGATATCGTAGGAACCTTTGCGCATTTCGATATCAAGTCATCTATTGAATACGCTTCAGGGTCTAAATATTTCAAATGAAGTCCTAGAACAAATTGTGCAACTTGTCACTAATGACAATCTTGACCTTGGTTGTGCTGCCATTGAACAAGCAGCTACAGAGAAGGTTCGTATCGATTCTTAGACACAGTTATCTCTCTGTCTTACACATTTTGTTGTCTGTTTCAGTTTTTAGTTTTGTCCTTGAAAAGGGCTCTTCAAGAATACTTCTGTCTCAGTACCTCGTTTATCGGAATCATATTTACCATTTTAATCTCTTTGGAGATTATTTATTGTTGCTTTCAATATCTGTAGAATTGGTTACATTTTGGACTGGTCTCTGGTGATAAGAATATTTCACTTTTCTATTTTATTTCATCGTTCAGTATGACTGTTTAATTAGTTAGCTAGTTTTTAACTGCACAAAATTCATTTTTTGGGATTTCATTTCTCGTCTTGAAGCTTCACTATTGTGTCCTGACTGTAGGCATTGTGCTTTGGTTGACTAAATTTTAGTTCATGTTTTTCTTTGCATTTGATCTAGGTTTATGAGTTGTTTCCATATTATTCCAAGGTTTCTATCAATATCTCCTTGTTGCCCCTGCAGGCAATACAAACTATTGATGCTGACATTGCTCAACAATTGTTGTTAAGGAGGAAGCATAGGGATGGTGTCGGTTCCTTTTTTGATCCAAAGCCATTGCCTCAAAATTCTGTCAGTGTTATTCCTGAATCTCTCTGCCCAAAACCTGGTCATCTGTCCCTTTGTCAGCAGCGGGTGTATGAGGTGCTCTTTTTATAAGCTGTTCACTGTCTTTTTTTCTTTTGTGTGGGTACCATTTAACAAGCATTCATGCATTTCAGGACTTCGTTCAGCTTCCGTGGCAAAAACAGTCTACCCAAAGTTCACATGGGTTATCTGGTGGTTCTAGTTCATCTGGAGATGTTGGCCTTGGTGGTGATTGTGGTTCACTGTCAGGAAAACAAGTTTCTGGCTTTTCATCTAGTGCGGGAAATGGGGGTCTGGATCTGGTTTCTCGATCATCGGATATTGCTGCGGAGGGTTTTGAATTTAGTTCAGTTGCACCTCTGAGGTATATTGTTTTGGAAAATCATTAGCTTCCTTTTCATTTCTTTGCTCGGATTTCACAGCTGATATATAAAACTTCGAAAATTTTCAGTGCCCCTGACACTCAAGTTGGTCCAGCTAGCGATGCAGCCACTCTTCTGTATTCTAAGTCTCTTTCAACCTCTGAGTTGCATCCAACAGAATCTTCTGATGCAACTATGAAAGTGAGATATGTTGTATGCTTTCAAGTTTTTGGTTTGCGAAGTATTCTTTTGATTACTGAGTTTTGTCTTATTTAAACAAGGATACGGGAGCGCCCTCACAGACTTTGACGTTAACTTCATCTGCTACCATGGAGCGACTTGGTAGTAGCATTACACAACCTTCGTTGTCCACGAGAGATGCATTGGATAAGTACCAAATAGTTTCTCAGAAGGTTAAGAAATTGTTCCACCATGATATTTTCTCTCACAGCATTTCTTTTGATCTTATGTATGCTAATTTATTGCTGATGTCTTGGAATTGTTTCAGTTGGAGGACCTAGTAGCGGCCAGTAATACTGGAGATGTTGAAATTCAGGTACTATGTGATTTAGGTTTTACAAAAGCTTGCTGCTGAATTTTTATCAGTTGCTTATGTACATCTAACATGATTATTGGAAATTGTAAATTTGTCCTATAGAATGCATCTAGTCTCCTGAAATGTGTTTAATTTTCTGCTAAATGGTGCATATCTTGTTTGTTTGGGTTTGTACTCAACTGGTGTAGATCACGTTGATATTTCAGGCAGTAGTTTCTGAGGTTCCTGAGATCATCCTCAGATGTGTAAGCAGGGATGAAGCTGCGTTGGCTGTCGCTCAGAAAGCTTTCAAGGCTCTTTATGAGAATGCATCAAGTGGCCTTCATGTTAGTGCTAACCTAGGAATTCTCGCAGCTATCCGTGATGTCTGCAAACGTGTTGTCAAGGAGCTCACAAGTTGGGTATGTTCTGTCAAACTTTTTTTTAGATTATTTCTATGTATATTCTTTCTCCGATGTACTGCAGGTTAGTTTGTTTCTACCCTCTGCTAGTTTGTTTGATGACTTTTTGCCATGACATGAAACCTGTTAAGGCTGTTCCTTTATATACTATTCTTGCAGGCATACTAAATAGAGTGTATACCCTGTTATTGGAGTTACAGGATACAATAAAACAGGACCTATCCTATGATTATGTGGCATTATTATTAGGTATTTCTACTTAGAATTTCTGTATCACACTCTGGAATTTCTCGTTACAGGTAATATATTCAGATGAGGAGCGGAAGCTCAACAAAGATATTACTCTTGGTCTTATCCGAAGTGAATTACTTAGCCTGGCAGAGTACAATGTCCACATGGCAAAACATCTTGATGGAGGGCGAAATAGTATGTTGAAGAATATGTCCTTCTTTAGTCCATGTATATCAAGCGAATTAGTTTTTTCGGTTGGTTTTTGCTAAGTGGATGCATGATGTGCAGAGAGCGCAACTGACTTTGCCATCTCTCTTCTCCAATCCTTGGTTACTGAGGAGTCAAGCGTCATTTCGGAGCTCCATAGTGTTGTTGATGCACTCGCAAAGGTTACGAGTTTATTGCCCCCACTTTCAGTTTTTTGTTGTTGGAATGTCTGTTCTTCTTTCCTTATTTTGATATCCATAAGATTTCTGTCACAAAAATCCAGTTAACAGGCTTAAAGTGTAGTTAACTACAGAGCCATATTTGTTCGTTTGGGTTCAACTTTGTGTTTTGGTCCTTGTGAGTACACTGATGTAGTGATTGGGCAATGACAGTTATTTACTGATGTTTTAAATATTTCTTGCTATGCTTGTAGCTTGCTGCAAAACCTGGGTCTCCAGAGTCATTGCAACAGCTGATTGGCATGATACGAAATCCAGTTACCAGTGCTGCTAGTCTATCTAGTGCTGCAAACAGCAATGAGAACAATGCTAGACAATCAAAAGATGAGAAGGTTGGGGCCATGATGTAATCTAAATGACTCTTGTAATCAGATGCTAATCTCATTTTGACATTTTACTTATATTGTGAATCAGGTGGCAAGCAATACCACCACTGCCAGAGATGAAAATATTATCATGGAACCTGCGGAACCAGATCCCGCTGGTTTCCGGGGACAGGTAAGTTGATCTCATGTTACTTTATTTTGGATATGGACAATCAGTTAGGTTTCTGAACCTGAAACTCAGATTTCCAACACAAATCCAAATCTTTTATTGCTTTCGAAACCGAAAAGAAAACCCCACACTTTGGATAATCTTTGTTGATAGATAGGATCCCAACTCTCTCCCCTTACAACCCAACCTTTCTGAAAATTCTGACTAATTCCCCCAATTCACCTAAACTTCAATTTATAGCTCAGCTTACAACCAATGGTTGTTGAGCTGGCCTAGCCACTAACTAACTACTAACTACTAACTAACTAACTAACCAACAATAAACAGCCAAACAAACCAATAAACCTGCAAGCACTTATCAGAGTTCTACAGTTGTGTATAATCAGTTAGGCTTGCTTCTTTCTCTGTTGCGTTCGTTACTCATAATTGTTTGTGTTATTCTGTATTGTGGCTACAGGTGTCCTTGCTTTTTAACAATTGGTATAAGATATGCGAACTTCCTGGTGCAAATGATGCAGCTTGCATTCGATATGTCATACAATTGCATCAGAGTGGACTGCTAAAGGGGGATGACCTAACTGAGAGTTTTTTCCGCATCCTTACGGTAATTTAGCCTTTCATCTTTTAAGCATCAGCACTGCCAGAAGCTTTGAAGAGTTAATCACTGATTTTATTTTTTCTGTTTTTTAGGAACTTTCTGTCAATCATTGCATATCTTCTGAAGTAATTAATTCTGCTGCACTGCAATCTCCTCAGCAACCCCAGAGTCTATCATTCCTTGCGATCGATATATATGCGAAACTTGTTTTTTCAATCTTCAAGGTATATATGTTGAATTTTTTCATAGCATGGCACCCGGATCATTAATTCTGAAACTTTTGATGTTTACCTTCATTTTCTTGGCGTTTTTCTTCAATTCTTTTCAGAATTTCCCTGAGCACGAATCTAGCAGCAAGTACTTTCTGCTGACGAAGGTAAGTACACTTGCTCAATTAGAAAATCAATTAACTCCTCGTAAACCTTGTGACAGAAATAGAGAGGGATGGCATTAATTCCTGATTACAGATTCTGGCTGTTACTGTGAGATCTATCCAAAAAGATGCGGAGGAGAAGAAGACATCTTTTAATCCAAGACCTTATTTCAGACTGTTCATCAACTGGCTTCTGGACCTTTGTTCATTGGACCTTGCAGCTAATGGTTCAAGCTTTCAGGTGTGTTTTTTTTTGGTAATTGTAGTTGTAGCAGTTAATCTTGTTTCTGATGTCCATTTGTACTTGCAGATTCTCACGGCTTTTGCAAACGCATTTCATGCTTTGCAACCTTTTAAAGTTCCTGCGTTCAGGTAAGGACGTATGATTTTTTCATCTCATAATGTGATAAAACCTGGAATCTTACTAGGAATGGGATCATCCAAAACTTCTTCATTTTCTTTACTAAGCACACGGTTCTTCCTCTAGATGATCATATACTTCTTCATTTTCTTTTTCTGTTTACTAAGGTGTTCGAATTTATATTTTTCAGCCTTGCTTGGCTAGAGCTGGTCAGCCACAGAAGCTTCATGCCCAAACTACTCAACTTAAACAATCAGAAGGGTTGGTCATATGTTCAAAACCTGCTTGTGGACCTACTCCAGTTTCTTGAGCCGTTTTTGAGAAATGCTGAACTAGGAGGACCGGTTTGTGTCTTTTCGTATCCTGTGACTTGGATTACGGTATCAAGGACATTTGTGGTGATAAATCAAACTCTTCTTTTTGGTTGTTTTTGAATCTTGTAGGTTCATGTTTTGTACAAGGGAACGCTGAGAGTGTTGCTGGTGCTGCTTCATGACTTCCCAGAGTTCCTCTGTGAATATCATTTTAGTTTCTGTGATGTGATTCCCTCAAGTTGTATACAACTCCGCAATATAATACTCAGTTCTTTTCCGCGAAACATGAGGCTCCCAGATCCATCTACTCCAAACTTAAAGGTTATTAAATTATGTTAATGATTTGACATAAAAGTGAAAAAAGATTTTTGGTTCCTGTTGACTGAGATATATGTTCAATGCAGATTGATTTGTTGCCTGAGATAGCTGATTCTCCCCGTATTCTTTCTGAGGTTGATGCTGCTCTTAAAGCAAAGCAAATGAAGAATGAAGTGGATGAGTATATTATGGTAAATCAACACCCAATTACCCCTGAGGTCTCAATCGTTACTTTCCACTAGTTTCATTACCTGCTGCCTGTCATGTCCTTTGGAGATCTGGTATGGAATTGTGAACTAGACCTTTTGCATACATACTCATGATCTTATGCAGATGAGGCAGCAGAACTCTCCTTTCCTAAATGAACTGAAGCAGGGAGTGCTTCTCCCAACAAGCGAAGCTAGTTTGGCTGGTACTCGTTACAACGTACCATTGATTAACTCGCTTGTTCTCTATGTTGGAATGCAGGTATGGCCTAGGCATCCGTATGAGTTTCAGCAATACTTTGTAGTACTTGAGTATTTGTTTGGATTGCACTACATTGTCTAATGACAAACTTTGGGGAGTATGTTTTTTTACAACTTTTAGTTGCATTTGTTGCTGTTGTGATCTGTAAATGGTTTTGACAGGCTATTCAGCAGCTGCAGGCAGGTGCTTCTCAGGCTCAGTCAAATGCTAATGTCGCAGCCTTGCAGATATACAAGTGTTTAAGCTCGGAACTTGATGCTGAAGGACGCTATCTGTTTCTAAACGCAATCGCAAACCAGCTCCGTTATCCAAACAACCATACACACTACTTCTCTTTCATCATGCTCTACCTGTTTCTCGAGTTGGACCAGGTATGCTGTTTTAGTTGTTCAGAGACCTGTGAATTATTCCCAAGGGGGAATCTCTACTAGTTTGAATGGGTTATGCAATTATTGTGTTGTATGTGTCGTTTAAATGTGCAGGAAATCATACAGGAGCAAATAACAAGAGTGTTACTAGAGCGGCTAATTGTAAACCGGCCTCATCCATGGGGACTGCTTATCACATTCATCGAGCTCATCAGGGTGAGACTGACAGACTATATTCTTTTAACTTGTTTCTATTGGAAATATATTTATAATAACATCGGGGGAATTTATGTGAGGGCAGAACCGAAGGTACAACTTCTGGAAACAAGGGTTCATAAGGTGTGCACCAGAGATAGAGAAACTGTTTCATTCGGTGGCCAGATCCTGTGGGGGAGGCGGAGGCCTGAAGCCAGTCGACGAAGGTATGGTCTCCGGGTGGGTGTCTGACAACGCTCCTGTGTCACATATATAAAACCTTGCTTTATATGTTCTGTATATATGTGTGTGTGTGTGATGCATGTCTCTGCACTTGGCATTCCATGCCTTTGCACTTTCATGCTGAGTTCCGTTAGCTTTGGGCATTTTGTTTTGGTTTCCTTTTTCGAAATATTTTTTGTCGGAATAAATTTGAAAAATATGGTACTGGTAGTTACCCCTTTTGAGATAAAAGTGTCAGCCAAGCCAAAGGAATGGTCTCTTGGATGCTTAAGCTGTAATTATAGGGGGACAGCATCAAATTCAGTTGGCCCCAGTTCCCGTTTGGCGCAATATTTTGCTCAGATCACTGACCTACAGAAGAATGACTCAGTAGTGAGCTCATCTTTCTCCAAGCAAACAGTGGAGGATTGTCCCAACATCGGCCATGGGACAAGGGGGATTAAAAAGTGATAGTAAAATGTTAATAGAAAGCACTTCCATCCATCCAGCTAGGATTGGGTGTGAAGAGCTGCACAACATTTACTGCTTGAAAAGGAACTGGTGGTCACTCCTTTAACATTTTATATTTAATGAATTCTGAAAGAAACATCAAGAACCAGGATTGCTGCTTGCAGCATAGGCGACGGAGCGGGTCGGGTAAGAAAGGTCCCATCCCAACGTATCTAGAAGATGCTGGCTAGCGGATCGGATCAGATGAGAATATTGTAGAATTTACTGGTCTGTGTATAATTTGGGCTGCATGACCGGCGTCAAGAGTTTGGAACTATTCACAACACTGTTGTGACAGTATTATTTAAACAAGACTAGCAACTTAATCGCATCCAAAACAACCTTCATTTTTCTGTCTTTCTCAGTCTCAACTGTTCTCAGCTTACGCCGTCAATCCCCAAAGTTTTATTATCTTTACACTTGCTTGTTTCCCGAAACTGCCTCGACACATGCAGGGAAGTGGATGGATCAGATCAGCGAACAAATACATATATATGAAGGAAACTGCAAAAGTGAAACAGAACATCATCATAAAGCAAGACATATTGGCCATCTGCGAGATAAGTTGTAACAAACCTTTTTGTATTTTTCAAGGACAGGAGAAGGTGCCAAAACTAGAAACCACGATAAATACACGCATAATGACCGAAGGGTCTCAGCATCCGCTTTCCACATAAAGCAAAACGATAAAAACAACATAATCGGATATCACAAAAATAAAATGAAGGGGGCAGTGCTGGTGGTTGTGTTTGCTGTCATGGTTCAAAGTTTCCTAGTACAGGCAGCAGTCAATTGTGGGGAGGTGGACCGGTCACTGGTACCCTGCATCATTTACCTCCAAAACGGAGGTTCTCCATCTGCTTCATGTTGTGGTGGAGTGAAGCACATAGAGGCAATCACTCCAACCACCACCGACAGGCAAGACGCATGCGAATGCCTTAAACAAGCTGCTCAAAACTACCCGAACCTTAAGGAAGAGGCAGCATCAACTCTCCCTGCAAAGTGTGGCGTCAGCTTCAACATTCCCATCTCTAAGGCCACCAACTGCAAGGTGTAAGTACACTTAATTCCCCTTCCCATAATCTCTTCGCTTTTTCAGGTAATTGCTTATTATCTTGCATAAGTTGCTCTCTTTTTCCTCTTCATTTCAGCATCCAGTAAGGTTGACGCCTGGAAAACAGCGAGATGGAGAATAAAGCTACAGACCTCTCTTGATAGATTCAGTATCTTTTCTGTGGAATAATATCCATATGTAATGTTATGGATGTTTAATAAGTTGACGAATATAATGTTATAGGCGCTGGTGAAAATGATGAAACCATGAAATAAGCCACACTTTAAATCAAATAATCTCTCTCTTGCATGTAATGTTTAACCCAGCATCATCTAGTTGTTCCTAAGAAAAAGATGGAAATATGTCAATCAAATGCGGTAGTAACAAATGAAAACACAATATGAAAAGAAACAGCAGCAAAATCTCTTTCCAGATAAGATGTTTCCTACCACGTAAACCATGCAATGCCATAGCAAAACTCAAAATTTCCTTAAGGCACGAATGTTGCATATATAACATCGAAGACGATTTCTACAATGCAACAAATTACACTCTGATCTCCAGAATCGTTTTATGAAGACATGAATTAACGAATTATATAATCTAAATCTTTCAGCACAAGTTGACCCTAAAGCAACTGTGTATTGAACTAAAATTAAATCTCAACTTGCATCAAAATATTACAGAATGATTTGATTGAACCCCACCCTATCCCTGATCAGGTTCACTGAACTATTCATACAGCAGCATTACAAATCATGACATCAAGTCACGGTTGGAGAACAAACACCATCTAGAGTGTAAATTTACTCTACAAAAAAACATCAGAACAGGGAATAAGAGCTTCCCGTTTGTAAGAACAATAAACTACTCGAAGATACAAGTTTATGGATGCATCAACATAACATGAAGTTCAGACCAATAACCTTCTATGTTAACAGGAAAGAGAAACAGGATGTGTGTGTAAAAACTGCTCTCCTATTCAATACTTAATTTATTTGTCCGATTACAAATATCTACATATTCATCAAATGACAAGCATCCACTTCAACAAAAACAACTAGTTCATGCTTTTAGCCGTCGTTAAAAGTTCTATAGAAAGAGTTATTAGAGACGAGGAAAACAAAGCACTGCAGAAACCATTATAACACTGTTACTCATATCAAGCTTTTCTTATGTGTCTGCATCGGCAAATATTAGGTACAACTCAGGACTTAATCACATTGATAATATTACAGAACACAGTTGATCTTTCTTTTAGGTTATCAGTTTTGGGGCCTAAGAGCAATAATCCACCTAATACATTGAGAGAAAGACTATGTTCGCTTGTTGGCAAGTAGTGGCATCAAACCCTGAACTTACCTATACTACTTATCTTTTCCTAAATGTGTCTCAAAAATATCCACAAGAAAAGATAGGATTAGATCGGCACAGGCTTATCATTTCAAACAGAAAATGCAAAAGAGAAACAGAAAAAATGTAAAAAAAAAGGAGTCCCAAGTTGTAACCAACCCTTTGTGTTTTCCAATGCAAGAACAAAACGCCAACATTAGAAACCCCTATAAATGCACGCACATAATGGAGTTCCAGCATCCACTTCAACAGAAACAAAACCACACAACTTTCAAAGCTCTAGCTATTCCAAAAAAAAATGAAAGGAGCAGCGATTGTACCGAGTTTGGTTGTTCTTGCTTTCATGGTCCAAAGCTTCATGGTGCAGCGAACAGAAGCTGCCATCAACTGTGGTGAGGTCGACCGATCATTAGTTTCCTGCATCGTTTACCTCCAAAACGGAGGTTTTCCCTCTGCTGCATGTTGTGCTGGAGTGAGGAACATAGAGGCAATCACTCCAACTATGACCGACAGGCAAGCTGCGTGCGAATGCTTTAAACAAGCTGCACAAAACTACCCAAACCTTAGAGAAGATGCAGCAACTACTCTCCCTGCCAAGTGTGGGGTGACGTTTAACATTCCCATCTCTAAGGCCACCAACTGCAAGAGGTAAGCAATCTCATTTTTCCTCTAGAGAATATAGTTCTTTGCTCCTTGTGTATCTTAGTAATAACGCATTAATCGACTTATGCTACCTTAACCTTTGTCTTTTTCTTTTTCTTGTTCAATTCAATTCAGCATCCAGTAACATGGGCCAGGAAATGCAAGATGGATGAACTGTGGATCTTTTTTGATAATTTTACAATCTTATCGATTGAATAATACCATGAATGGAAAAGAAGAATTCATGCGGGCGATCCCAAATAAACTTGGGATTAAGGCGATATGCTTATCAATAAATTACCATGTTATGTGATGCACAATCGTACGAGTGTTGGTGAAAAATTCAATGAATGTGACACTGATGAAACTATACAAAATATTAAAACAGCTAAAACCAGAGAAAATTGCCGTTGTGCCATTGTTCATCTAACTAGGTTCTGTTCAACCAAAGATGAGGATAGTAACGTGTCTAGCACATGAGGCACTATAATATGGTATTCAAAAGTAACAGAAGCAGAAAAGGAAAAAAAAACTACTTCCAAATATAGAGCAAGCGATAGTGGTCACCATCTCAGGTTTGAGACAAGGTGTTAACTATTAACTAATTAAACCATGCAAAATTGAATTTTCTTCAGGGGATCTGTAGAGGCCCTTTTTTTCTTATATTGTGGCTACTGTCCTTCATTCAGGAGATCAATTTCAGATATAAACACAAAATGAAGTTGCTTAATGAAACATATTTAGGTTAAAATATCCACGACCCATCTGAGCCTATATAAGGTGAAAAATCTAAAAGGAGGCCCATGATGCAAAAAATTACTCAGCTATCTCAAGACAATAATGAATGCCATGTGCTGTTTTAATATTTTGCAATTCCTATATCAGACACACACACACACTCAAAGTTCCAGCCTGAGAATCAATTACTAATATTGAAAGAAAAAATTGAAAGGAGCAGAGATCATACCCATGCTGGTTGAGCTGATTTCCATTCATCGCGTAATGGTGCGACGAGTACATGCTGTTGTGACTAAAGGTGAATTCGATAGATCACTGGTACCATATTTTCCTTTATCACCAAACCGGATGTTCCCCAACATTTGCAAGTTGTGCCTGTGTGAAACTCCAACCGCCACAGATAGGAAAGCTGCCACCAAATGCTTCAGGAAAATGTAGCATCCATACTCTCTCCCGTGTCTAGGATCACCAAACAGCGAGAGAGTCAGTTATTAGTTTGACATTTACTATATTTTCTCGCATGGCTCAGAAGTTGCAAGTAGAACCATATGAAAATCATACATCTGATTAACTGTTTTGCTGTTGCATATAAATCTGAGAATCATACATAAGGAAAAGGGGAATCCAATGAATAAAACTGAGGGGATCATTTTGTTATTTCCTAGACTAGAAGCGTGTCCCCCAAGTCCACATTATCAATAAATGGCCAAGGATTTATGGTTGATGGAGGATATACCTAATTGGACATAGAATGGCCAATCAATCATTAAGAGTGCTACTGAATGGTAGGTACTCTCTACAACAAAGAAATGAATAGAAAAATGAGAACCTTTCTCCTGGGGACAAAGAAAAGTAGATGCTTGAATATAATTCTATTACATGATTATGCGTAAAGAGACAAGGTCTCATTTCCCAATAGTTTGTGAAATGCGTGGACGAGTGTACCAAGATTCCTTCAATAGTTTATAATATCTGTCATATGGGAGGGAATATATAAATAAATAAAACAACATTGAGGAAAACGTGAATTAATGGAGGTTTCCAAGCACCTGCAGATAAAATAGTAAAAATTGGCCATGTATATATATCTCTCTTCCGGGAAGAGAAGAGAGTGTGCAGTAGATAATCAGAAGAAGAAGAAAAGAAGGAGAAAAATGGAGGCAGTACTGGAATCGATTCGGCAACATCTGCTGGAAGATGACATAATGGAAATCTCTCAACAATCCTTGTCCGTTGACTTGGGACCGGCCAAAGCACCGTCGTCATCGTATAGCCAGAGAAGAGGGGGAAACTACAAAGGAGTGAGAAGAAGACCATGGGGCAAATACGCGGCGGAGATAAGAGATCCGAAGAAGAACGGAGGCAGGATCTGGCTGGGCACCTACGAGACGCCAGAGGACGCCGCCCTCGCTTACGATCGAGCGGCCTTCGAGATGAGAGGGGCCAAGGCGAAGCTCAACTTTCCGCATCTCGTCGGCATCGACGCCTTTCAACCGCCACGAGTGACAAACAAGCGCCGACGTTCACCGGAGGAGCCCATCTCTAACTCTAAACGACGAACCACCCCTCACATCATTAACCTCACGGCCAGGCTCCCTTCCCTTGGATTCTCTTTATCCACCCTCGGGTCCTCGTTTGATCCTACTGCGCATTTTTTTGTTCGTTATTTCCAGCCCAACCAACTGGGTGCGTGAGAGGCCCAGATGCCTCACATCAAATTAATTTCTTCTTTTGTAACGCCCGACACCAGTCAGTCATATTTGTTAAATAGTATAGTATTCGTAGATAGATACTACAGCGGCTTACTTTCAAAATCGACAAGTTTACATCAGGAAATCGAGAAAACCCGGTCCAATCACAAAGGCATGTACACTGGGGAGAGGGAATAAAAGGCTAAATTACCCAAACAACAAAATTTGGCAGCCCAAAGGGTTTAACATCCCATCCCTCTCGCAAAAATCGTCACCTCCTTCCTCAGGCTCCACAAAGGGTCCCGATGCCCCCACCTTTTACCTAATCTCCCCTCCTCTCTCACTGTTTTTATGTTACTGGGTGCCTCCTCCTGCAATAATGTCATATGCAATGCAAGAACCGTTAAAGATCTCCAGGTTTGCTGCATACCCCATGTACTGGTAAAGTGATACCACATTCACAAAATATGTCTCATACAAAAATCTCGCTCCTCTCCTTTCACAAACGGGCAATTAAAGAAAAGGGCCATTTTACCTCTTGGGCCGGCTTCTGTCTTCTTCGTAATCCATCACTCCGCTTGGTTCAGCAAAGATCTCCTCATGCCCTCTAAAGTCAGCATCTGCCTGCCCACAGTGTGCAACTTCTGCCACAATGTAAGTAAGACTACATCGACCAACATGTCCCAGCATTTGAGCACTTAATTTAATACCCTGTCACGACCTATTAATTGTCATTTTGGACAAACAGGAATAAACACACCCCAGTTCTTATCCTGGCTCCCCTCTTTCAAGCATGATTCTGGCTTTGGTGTTCTACAGCCACGACTCTCACATAGGACATATATATATGTTCCAACTTTAATAGAGCACAAGCGATCACCAAGCAATACAACCGAATAATGTCTTGTATCTTTCGATGGCTGTGCATAACACAACAGCCTTCTATTTTAAAATCTTGAAAACCCTTCGAAAAAAGGTGAACCATAAGACTGTGATATCATCCTCATAAACAGATTTACCTACACATCCTGGATGCCAAACTAAACCATGAAGAGAGGAAACGACAACAGCTATAGCCAACTGACCTTTGTGGAAAGAGACTTTTTCACTTCTTCCACCCTCTCTTCGATTTCATTCCGACGTTTCTTATCCAACTCACCCATATTATCTGCCCATTTTATCTTCTCTTGAATTGAAACAAGCAGATTCTCTGATGTGTTAAACCTAAGCATCAATGTTCAAAGATACATTAACAGAAATTCAAACCTCAAGCGACATGAATATTCTCTTCCCCAGAAAGGACCTCCACATAAAGGCTCAATAATGGGCCAGAAAGCTCAACATCTTTGCCATAGATTTGAGCATCAAGTTCGAGCTCTTCTGATGTAATTGGAGCACAGAAAATCCTTAGATTCAAGGGAAGAAATACTAGATCATAGAAGCTACCAGTTTGACAATGTGAGTATCATACTCCCAAGTTGTCCTGGCCTTATATCCCTACCAGCCGCAAACTGAACCTGCAGTTTGTTCAGTTTTCCAGAAATATAAAACCTTAATACAGTTAAGTGGTGCTGGTAAGTGTAAAGAAGTAGCATGGTGATTATGTACTTGGAAAAAGTGGGTCACGACTCATACCTCAAAACATCTTTTCAACTGATCCAGCTTTCCTCTTACTATACCCTGGAATTTTAAAGAAGTTAGCACCTATACCCTGGAAATTTCAAAAGTCAGCACCATCTGTAACTATCTGCATTGTGGCAGTTAGATGTCTGGGAAACTTCTGATTCTTGTTTGAGAACAAAAGAGAAATTGCACAGAAAAAGCAACTACTTTGGTCAGAATACTCGCCATGTACATACATTCATTGATAAGAAAGTCCTCCAGTTCACGTACATTTCTGACATCTAATTCCTGCATCAGATCATCATAGGACAACACCTAGAAAGAAATTCACAAGTACAGTTAGATACACACGCATATACTAGGAAAACACACTAGTTTAGCCTAAAAAGGGATCCCTAAACAAGGTGAGTTGGAATCCAGACTGAGATATCACAAGTCCAATAAAATAACTATCACTAGGGCAAACAAGAGTTGCAAACACCACCACCACCACCAACAACAACAACTTAATCCCAAGTTTATTTGGGTTTGGCCGCATTAATTCTTTCTCTCCATTCATTTCGGTTTTGGGTTAAGTCCTCCAAGATTTGTAAACACTACGAATCATCACTAATCACTCGTTACAAAGTGAGTCTAGATTAGGGGTTTCAAAATGAGCTCGGCTCACGAGCCCATATTTCCCGATTTGGGCTAAGGAAATTTGAGCCCGAAAAAAACGGGCCGAACGAGCCAGCTCGTCACGAGCCGAGCTCATTGCGAGCCAGCTCGGCAAACCCACAAGCTGGCTCCCGGGATCTCGGATTTT